TTGTTGCGCCTACACCATAGGACCAGCTGCTCAACCTCCTGTCTGTAGGCTGACTCGTCACTGTCTCGGATGAGATCAATAACCGTTGTATCATCTGCAAGGAAGGGCTTGACAGAGGGGTCCTTCGAGATGCAGTCATTGGTGTGGAGTGAAAACAGCAGAGGGGAGAGCACACATCCCTGGGGTGCACCTGTGCTTATTGTCTGGGTGCTGGATGTGGTTTTCCTCAGCCTCACCTGCTACTTTCTGTTGGTCAGAAAGCTAGTAATCCACTGACAGGTGGGGGCAGGCACAGTGAGCTGGGTCAGTTTGGAGTGGAGGATGTCATGGGTGATTTTTTTGCTGAAGTCGACAAAGAGGGTCCATGCATAGGTCCCTGGGGAGTCGAGGTGTTGCAGGATGTAATGCAGTGTCATGTTCACTGCATCATCCACTGACCTTTTTGCCCGGTCGGCAAACTGCAGGGGGTCTAGCAGGGGGTCTACGATGTCCTTCAGGTGGAACAACACCAGTCTTTCAAATGACTTCATAACTACAGATGTCAGGGTGACAGGTCTGTAGTCATTCAGTCCACTGATGGAGGTTTTCTTGGGGACTCCATCTTTGATTCAAAGCAGTTTATGTATCACATAGATAATATTCCCTTGATTGCTTCTTTGGTTCCTTCCCTCCAAAATGAATAAGCTTTGGTTTGCAATCAAACCCCTATTTTATGTTTGGTCATAACTATATAAACATTATAGGATCAATTTTATCCTAAATATTAGGATAAAATACTCCTACCTCATCTGAGCATCTTAATATCTGGGCTGCACACAGAGACATGTGCATGGAGCTGTGTTGGTGATGGCGTGTGGTTGAATGAAACAAATGAAGTAATTTTGCTCATTTTTGCTTGGTTTTGGTGCCGTTTATGATGGACATAACACAGCAGTCCATAGCATTTTAGTGAGAAGTTGTTAAAATTTACAACATCAAAACAACTAGAAATGTGGGGAGTTTCAATTCAATAGTGGCCATAACATTAGAACTGTATTAATATTACTAGGGGGAAAAAAAAACATTCCTCTGTATAAATTTGCTTGTGTTACTGCAGATACATCTGTTACAAATAATGTCAGACATACATATGCATATCAGTAAAATATAGACCTTTATTTGACATTGTGTCACCGCAATGCCATTGAAAACCACAGCCTCTGTATTCTGTATACATTAGTTCTGGAGCTTGTTATTACTGCTGAGCTGCCTGACTGCCACAACTGTCTCTGGCTGTCGTGACCACATGTAACCTAGTTTCACAGACAGGGCAGGAGGGGCAAGGAGGAGCAGAGCGAGACGAGGAGACGATACTGCTTGAGTTTGTTTTGACTCTCACTTTGGCCTTAACGGTTGGAAATGAGAGGGAGAGGTTAGTTAATGCAGCTTTAATGCTCAACATCTATTAGTTTTAACTCCAAC